TGGCTCAGCCTTGGGATATTGTATACAGCAGAATTTGTTCCAGATTTCCCTCCCTCCCTCCCTCCCTCCCTCCCTTCCCTCCTCCTCCTCCTCCTCCTCCTCCTCCTCCTCCTCCTTGTCCTCCTCCTCCTCCTCATCCTCTTCCTCCTCCTCCTCCTTTCTCCTTCTTTTTTGTTCTGGCACTAAGAGCTTAAACTCAGTGAAGGCCTGGGTGCTGTCTCAGCTTTTTTACTCAAGCACTCTACCAGTTGAGCCACAGATCCACTTCAGCTTTTTTGGTGGTTAGTTATAAAATAGAGTTTCATGCACTTCACATTCTTGGGCTGGGTTGGAATTGTGATCCTCAGACCTCAGCCTAGGATTACAGGTATATGCATCACCAGTTTATGCCTTTTTTTTTTTAAGTTTTGAGGTTTAATTGATCTCCAAGTGGGGCAGAGTTTCAGCCTGTAATCCTAGTTATTCAGGCACATGCACGTGTGCACACGCACGCACGCCCACACACACACACACACACACACACACACACACACACAGCACTGTAAGTTGTACAGTGGGGATTCAATCCAATGTGTTACTTTGTAAGCTCATTGCAGTTTCTTCTTTCTTTCTTCCTTCCTTCCTTCCTTCCTTCCTTCCTTCCTTTCTTTTTTCTTTCTTTCTTCCTTTCTTTCTGTCATCTTTCTATCATTCTTTCTTTCTTATGTGAATCCTGGAGTCCTAGAGAATTCAGGCCTAGGTGCTATTGAGGAGCCTGAGGCCTGGTGACTCCATCTTGAGCTAGTAACCATCTTGAGAGGTATGAGTTATGCAGCTGACCATGAGCCCAACCTGGGAATGAACAGAAAAAAAATTCCTGGGGCAGCTAGGGACTTAAACAGTCCTTGGGAAAACCGCAGGCAGGTGCTGGAGGGCATGGTGACCCAGCAGTCAGACCACAGGTGGTGTTTGTTTGAGAAAGGAATCCTGCAGTTCAGTACTTAAATCCTTGAGACTCCCCTGTGGTGGGAACCAACCAGTTTAAAGTACCTCAGCCCTTTGATCTAACCAACAACCTGTATCTGGTCCTGTCCCGCTTTGTAGTGTGCCAATTATACTATAGAATTGTTTTATGACTTTCCTGCGATGTGTAGTGATATGTTACAAGATGCTATGATGTATGTAAAGTCCCTGCCCTCCCTAAAAAGTGTATTTAAGTGCTGTAACCCTAGGCTCAGGGCTTCTTGGGGTCACCAGTTATCTGGTGCACAGAGGACCAAGCTCGAGCTTGCAATAAACAATTCCTTTGCTGTTTACATTGATCTTGGTCTCTGGTGGTCTTCGGGGGGTCTCGAGTCTGAGTACAACATAATATGGGGCCTCGTCCGGGATCCCCCTCATAAGCCCACCCGGACACCTGATCAGAGAGTCTCAAGAAATGGCCTATAAGTAGAGGCATTGCCGCTCTGAAATTAAATGGTATTTGAGTTGTCTGCAGGTTTTGTATTGGGTTGGCAAGAGGTCTTGGTCCACGTGCTATACGACAGCCAACGGGGCCAGTGGGAGACGTCCCCCAGACTCCCTCAGGGTAAACTATGCACTAGTGTGGACGTTTGAGTCTGGCACTTTCTGACTGATAGCTTACAGGGTAGACTGTCCACTAATGTGGACATTTGGGCCCATCTGTAGTCCTGCACTTTCTGACTGACAGTCTACAACACACACACTGTGAACGTGTCTTGTCTCTGTTCAGTGTTTTGTGTGTGTGTCTTTTGGAATTCTTGGAATGTTTCTCCTCCCAGATTCACCCTGATGCAAGGGCTCAGAGGAGATTGGCCTTAATATCTGTTTCTCTCTAGCTCCTTCTTTTTCACTTGCACTTTAAACTGACCTCCCTCCCTTCCCTTCACTGCTACCTCCTCTACCCTCTCTGGATCCAGAAGGGGGGGTGGGAGGGCAGGCGAAGAACCTGGAGGATCTAAAAATAACTTGAAAGGGCTGGCAGGGAGAGCTTGGAGCCAGATGAAACTGCCACTGGCCACCTGTAAGTGGCACCAGCAAGATCTTAGCCTTGGGCCTTGGCCCGGGGGGTATGAGTATGGGGGAGAACCTGTCAGTCTGAGGGGACGGCCGCTAGGGACTTCTTTCCCCTGCCCCAAGATGACTGGGAATTCTCCTCCACCTTGGAAGTCCCCTGGGTCACAGTTTGCAGGAATCTAAAAGAAATATCCTCCGGAGGTGAGTAGAGGGGGTTCGAGTCCCCTGGTAAGTGAGTAGTGGTGAGATGTGGGCCCCATTCACTGAGACCTGATTTTGCCTTTGTGGACACTTGTCTGTCTACACTTTGGTGTGGTTTCTGTTCTATGTTTTCTGAGGTAGGGAAGTTCTGGGTGAGAGTGGCAGGTTCACTTGGCAAACTCTGGATTCAGCTTGAAAACGGCACAGAGTTTTCTGGTAGGGATAAACTGGGGGCCTATTAGTCCCCAACTCAGCCTTTGGTTGTTGTCTTGTCTAGTTCTGTTTTAGAACTGGTACCAGTTTTAAATGTGAATCCTTGGTTTTTGTGTTTATCTGTGTTTTTGTTACTTATTTGAACATCTCTGGGGGAATAAAAGTCCCAGCCTCCCACTGGGCTTGGTCACAGACCTGCTAAGTCCCCCCTTGTGTTACAGCAGCCAAGAGGCGGGGCATGGACAAGCCTCAGGCTGCACCTTCTCCCAGTGGAGAATGCTGGAGGAGAGGCGAGGGTGTAGATAGCAGTAAGCCTGGTCTGGACTTTCAGCTGCTCCAGACAGCTTAACAATTTGTAAAGTGCTCTTGTCAAAATTGGGTAAAAATCAGCCTTCCTCCAACAGAAGGGATTCAAAAGACTGATTGGTGAAATGCCTTGCTAAACAAGCAAGCCTTGGAAAATGAAACTCAACAAAGGTACTTTGTTTAAAAGAAATATTGTCTTAAATTTTTGTTTAAAAACTTTAGAAAATGTACGTACAACTGATTTTGATTTTTGCGTGCTTTAGTATCTGTGTGTGTTGTATGTGTTTGTGAACATGTTCAAGATAAGAATTGTCAGCATGCTCTAACAATTGGGTGAGCTTAAGTTTAAAATTCAAAAGGTTATGAGGTTTGGACATTACCAAAAATTTTAAAGAATCTTCACATTGTTTTAAAAGGCTTTTTAAGGATTCCTTAACTTGAAAATTAGAAAATCTGGCATTTAAAAATCTAATTTTAAAATACATAAGGCTGTTTACACTGTAATCAAGATATCTGGCATAACAAAAATGCATTGGCTGTTTGGGATTTAGTTCCCTTGGCTAAAATATAGGGATAAATATTAGAAATTTAAATGTAAAGGTTAGTTTAACACTGTCAAAGATGTTACTGTTAGGTTTTTACAAAGAGGTGGCCGAGTAAGCAGCATGCACGTGGTATTCAGGTAAGGGGTAGGTTTATTCATCGTTCCGGCTGGCACCAGGCCATCTTGGTCCTCCACGCCGTGGGGAAAGGCCTTGGAAAGAGAGCTGGGAGAGCTGGGAAAGAGAGAGAGCTGGGAAAGAGGGAGAAAAGAGCTAGAAAAGAGAGAAAGCTAGAAAAGAGAGCGTCTGGGAAAGGTGAGAAAGAGAGAGCTAGGAAAGAAAAGGGAGCTGGGAAAGAGAAGAGAAGGAAAGAGCTGAGAAAGAGCTAGAAAAGAGCAGAGAGAGGGCATCCAGGCCTGGGCTAGGGCTTATCTAGGGTATGGGCGGAGAAAGGTGTGGCCATATCAGATTCAGATGTGACCTCAGCGGATGCAGGTGTGACCTCTTCCAGGTGTCCCAGTTGCCTAGGTAATGCAGGTACTGGGTGGAGGCTTTGCTGCGAGGAGGGTGGAGTCTGCTAGCCATCCAGGAGCGGACCTTACAGTTACCTGTTCTGTCTGTCTAAAACTGTGTATTTCATTCAAGAACCAAGAGAAAAGACTGGGGGGAAACTTAGAAGCCAACAGAAGACCTATCTTTAGGGGTGAGGGGTTAACAGGAAGAAATTCAGCTCAGCTGGCCATGCATGGTGGGACAGGAGTGGGGGGGAGGGGGTCCCACAGATGGTGAAAGAGGGCAAGCTGGCACAAATGCAGTTCATCTAACCCTAAAGAGTCAGATTGGGTGCATGCCCATTCCATAAGGGGAGGGTGGGCAAGTGGACCATCTTTATTTTGTCCCTTTTCCCTGCAGATAGACACTGGAAACATGATGGTAAAAATGAGTTTCTTTTTCTTTTTTTTTTTTTGGGTCCGATCGTGGGGCCTGAACTCTGGGCCTGGGCGCAGTCCCTCAGCTCTTTTAGCTCAAGGCTAGCGCTCTACCACTTGAGCCACAGCGCCACTTCCGGCTTTTTTCTTTTTTGCTTATGTGGTGCTGGGGAATCGAACCCAGGGCCTCAGGCATGCAAGGCAAGCGCTCTACCACTGAGCCACCTCCCCAGCCCCCATGATGGTAAAAATGAGTGATGTGATGATCTGATTAGTATTCCTAAAAATGTCCCTTGGATGTGTTAAAATTAAAATTAAGAAGGCCTTAAAAAGAGGGTTAAAAAGTTGATTTGTATAATGTGACTTGCTTTCAATGATTTCTACAATTAGGATATGTTTTCAAAAGTCATAACGGTGTTAACTCTAGCTTCTTGGTACAGTGTTGGTGATTGTAATTCTTGCATTAAGGAAAAATTGTCATTTGGGTTTAAAAGTTTTAATGTATATCTGCTTTAAAACGAGCAGCCAAGAGACAATGAGTGACACTTGGCCTCAAGATTTCAAGGGATCGTTTCAAAATGCAAATGAAAACTAAAAGTATAAAGTATTAAAAGAGATTAAAAAGAGGCTTAAAAAATTAGGATTACCAAAATAATTGCTATTCCAGTTTGCTCTTATAGGTTTCCAGTTTGCTCTTATAGGTTTTTTTTTTTTTTTTTTTTTTTTAAAACAGTTTCCAGCAAGCCCAGAGCAAAGTACAGAGGATTCTTACAAGTTTGTCAGATGTAACTGTGGCTCTTAATAAGTTTCAGGTAAGAGCATGCTTAAGAGCTACTTCTATGTTGACCACCTTGTTGCTTTTAATTGGAGTAAAGTGACCTTTTATGAGACTTATTGATCTGCAAACTGGTTCGAAGCCAGCCCAGACAGAAAAAGGTCCCTGTGACACTGTCACCTCTAATCAGCCAGCAGAGGCTGAAAGAGCAAGAAGAGTTGCTATAGAGCTGAGGGACAGCACTCAGGCTCCGAGTTCAAGTCCAGCAACCAACTAAGGGAAATGCCAATGAGGCATTTTTCCCAGTGTGGAGAAGACACTCCTGGGACAAAAACAATGGAGGAGCATCCAGAGGCAGTAAGCCACTGCTTGGATGGCAAAAATAATGTCAGATCCTAGAATCATTTGTGCATAGCCCTTCAAAAATTGGTCAGAGCCAATTTTAGTTTGTAAGCATGCCTAATGTCCATGACTATCTACCTTGTAAGGGATAGGAACTTGCCATCCTCTGTGATAGTAGTAAAAAGCTAAAGTTATAAAATGTGGGGGATAGTTTAAATCCCAACCCCTGTATGTGCCAAAAGCCCTAATTGGCAGTAACTTTTGAGCTGACACCAGCTACATGAAATTCATCTGCTCAGAAAAAAGTTTGTAAACCTGAGAGTGTGTTTCTATTGACATCTGTCTGAAGGCCCGCACAGGTAACTTAGGCATTGTTAGGGTCACTAGAGATCACATTCCTAAGCCATCCAGAAAGATGCTTTTACAAACCAGAGTGCTAAACAAGCTACAACAAGCTGTTGTAGCTGGAGAAAAGGTCTGTGCATTTGTCAAAAGTTAAAATATTGTTCTTAATGACATCAAACCCTGGTAACCTCCTTGTAAAATAGGCTAAGGTTATAGGTTCCTGGCTAGGTAGGATCAACACCCCTGAGTCAGCTTAAAAAAGTTACAGAAGATAAATCTTTGCCCATCATCCCCTTTTAAGAACAAGGGACCAGAGTCACTTAAAAAAATGTGGCAAAATAGACAGAAGAAAAAGGCATGGGAAACAGTACAGGCCTGAAAATCAGGCCTAGAAAATCAGCCTTATTAAAAGAACTATCTAGTTTAAAAAGTTGTCATCTTGGTAAATTGTCCTGGGCTATTGTCTAAATAGTCTTAAAAACTAGTGGGGTCACAGCCTGCCAAGCCTACGCAATGTATCCTTAACCAGTCTGTGTAGGAATTTGCAGCCCAGCATGAGGTGTGACAGTCCCTTGGAGCCACAGAGACCCTGCTGCTGCTGCTACAGCCTGACAGCCACCTGGAGGAAATCTACATCATTACCCTGACCTCCTCCACTGTGGAAAAACTAGACTGAACTCCTGCCTGATTCCATCACCTAAGACTGCTTCCTGGTAGAAAGCTGCTAAAACTAAGATCTTGTGGGACAGTCTTTTGGTGATATACAGTAACCCCCTCTACTCCCACAGTGGATATTGGGGGTTAGGATATCACTGGCTTGCCTTAGGCACTTCAGGGTCACAGCCTAGTTTGGCTCTGGTAAAATCTAGCAAGCTTCTCCATCCCAGTGGTGCCTTGAGGCTGTTCTGAGATAACTTGGTTCTGCAAACCAAAGGAAAAATGGGCAGTTTTAAACTCTAGCTCAAGAAATTGTAAAAAAGACGAGGGTAGTAAAGAAAGCCTTTGGAAAGGAATTGGGGAAAAAATGGTATCCCCTTTGGATAAGAAAGGATTTGAAAAGGAACCTCAGAAAGTTTAAGTATGTAGAAAATAGTATGAGTATGTCTTAAAATTGGAGCTTATGAGTACAGCTGGTCAATTAACTTAGCTGTGATATATGGAGTCAGGACTGGTGGAAGAAAATGTAAGGGCCTTTGGTACTGTTGATTTTGTTACTCACAGTTGGGCCTTGTGTTGTAAACTGGCTAATGATATTTGTTAGAGAACACATTAACATTGTACAACTGATGGTCTTAAAGGCTCAATATCAACTGGTTCCCAATGGAGAACATGATGTGTGCCCATAAGGACCATGGTTGGCCCTTAAGGTGCGTATCAGAAATGGGGAATGAGGAGCCTGAGGCCTGGGTTACTCCATCTTGAGCTAGTAACCATCTTGGGAGGTATAAGTTTTGCAGCTGACCTGAGCCTGACCTGGGAATGAACAGGAAAAAAAAAAAACAACTCCCCGGTGACTAGGGACATAAACAGTCCTTGGGAAAACTGCAGGCAGGTGCTGGAGGGCATGGTGACCCAGCAGTCAGACCACAGGTGGTGTTTGTTTGAGAAAGGAATCCTGCAGTTCAGCACTTAAATCCTTGAGACTCCCTTGTGGTGGGAGCCAACCAGTTTAAAGTACCTCAGCCCTTTGATCTAACCAACAACCTGTATCTGGTCCTGTCCCACTTTGTAATGTGCCAATTATAATATAGAATTGTTTTATGACTTTCCTGCGATGTGTAGTGATGTTACAAGATGCTATGATGTATGCAAAGACCCTGCCCTCCCTAAAAAGTGTATTTAAGTGCTGTAACCCTGGGCTCAGGGCTTCTTGGGGTCACCAGTTATCTGGTGCACAGAGGACCAAGCTCGAGCTTGCAATAAATGACTCTTTAGCTGGTTACATTGATCTTGGTCTCTGGTGGTCTTTGGGGTGTCTTGAGTCCGAGTACAACACTATCCCTGGCTTTTTTGCTCAAGGCTGGCCCTCTAGTACTTGAAACACAGCTCCACTATTGGTGGTTAATTGAAAATAAGAATCTCATGGACTTTTCTGCCCAAACAGGTTTGGGACTATGATCCTCAGATCTCAGCCTCCTGAGTAGCTAGGATTACAAGCTTGAGCAACCAGTGTCCAGTCCTCTTCAATGTAAGTCCCTGTAAGTGGGTCTGTCTACTATGAGGAAGTGTACTCTCTATGGTGGGTTCTTCTCATGCTGGTATTTCTCTATGAGGCCAGATCTTTTGGGGCCATGCAGTCTAGTATGATGCAGGACTTTCTGTGAGTCAGAAAACTATGAGAAAAGGCCCTCTATAAAGCTCTATCTATTTCTATTGAGGCAGGTTCCTCTGGGAGAAGGATGGACTCTAATGCATCAGGGTTCTTCCATGGGAAAGAGGTTCTCTATGAAGCAGTGTACTGTATGAAGCATCTTCTTGGAATTAGTGTGCTACATGAGGCAAGGTCAGCGTTGAAAGCAGGGTCATATGATGTTGGAATGGCCTTGATAAGGCATGACTCTCTCAGACAAAGATCTTTATCAAGTGTCTTATGTGAGCCATGGTCCTCCTATGAGGAGTCAAGGCCTTCTTGAGGCAGGGCCCTCTTTAGACCAAAGCCCTCTATGAGGTAGGGCCACCAATCTAAGCTGTGTTTTTTTTGGCACTGTTGCTTAGCTTTTTTGTTCAAAGCTAGTGCTCTAGCACTTGAGCCATGTTCAGCTTTTTTGTCATTAATTGGAGAGAAAAGTCTCCTGGACTTTCCTACCTGGGCTAGCTTTGAATGGTGATTCTCAGATCTCAGATTCTATAGGATTGCAGATGTGAGCCACCGATGCCCAGCTTCAGCCCAAGCCATCTTTGCGGCAAGAGCCTTTATGAGGCAGAGCCCACAATGGTTCAGAGCTGTCCTCTATGATGCAGGATCCCACGTGACACAAGGTTCTGAGGCACAGTTCTTTATGAAGTGATGTGCTATAAAGCAGGGACTTGTATCAGGCAGGGTCCTCAGTGATACAGGGCTTGCCTCATGGAGGACTGCATATCCATCACAGTGGGGCCATTCCTTGGAAGGACATCCCTGGCTGACAGGGGGAAGCAGCACCCTTCCTTCAGGGAGCGGGTCAGTGGGAGGCAGAAGCTGAGGCATGGTAGCCTCAGCAGCGGGCTTCACCTGTCCTGGCTGTCGCTGCCCTGGCCCAGTGGGGATCTGGAGGCCAGCGGGAGCGGCATGTGATGGAAAGTGTGAGGAGGTAGATCTCAGCCTCCTGAGTAGCTAGGATTACAGGTGTGAGCCACTGGCGCTGGGCTTCTTCCCTTTTTTTGTAGTGGAAGACTTTTCACTCTGGTGACTACTCTGGTGTATTCTGGTGTTCTCTAAGCTTGTCTATTGTCTATTACTTTCACATATTGATTCCATGTATTTATGAGTGGATATTATGTCCCATTTTATTACAAATGTTAAAACCAGCTAACAAAGGCAGCTATCAGAAATTTTTCTTTTTAACTTTCTAATAAATTTGACAACACAACTGAAATAACAGTAGCCCATTACTGATGGTCTAGTCTAGCAATGTCAATTATCTTTACAGAAAATTATGCAGTAACATTTCTATATTTTGCACTAAACCTTTTCTGAATGATCAATATATTTCAATTTATGAGTAATAATGATGGTTGGAGAACTTTATTATAGATAATTTTAAGGTGCATAGCAAGTTTCAAGGAGATCCATTTACATCGAACAGCTGATCAGAGGATTATATCTAAATTGTGATCGTGGTATATGAGATGGAATTAAATACTCTAGCTGGTCTTTACATCAACCACATCTTTATTCAAACTTCACAAGGCAATATTCTGAACTATTAATAGCATTTCAAAACAGGAATTACATTCAACAGGCTCTTCTCAGTGAGCACGTTTTAATGTTGATGTCATTTTAAAATACTTTTTTTTTTTAGCAAATATGCGTTTATTTATATATTTCTTTTATTAAGCTATTTTAAAAGAAAGCCAAGTGCTGTCTGGTCTGCTTATGGAGTAGGAATTGCATCAGAGTACATATATTCTTTCTGTACAATGCCTGTGATGTTGAGGAAGGTTCTTTATTAGAGTATGCCTGAATATCTGGCTCTATGGAGTTGATGAATGCACTGACTTTTGTTTATACCCCAAATGATTGAATTGTTAAGTACAAAATTAAGCTAATGAATTTGTAACCATTTCTCATAAACAGCCACTCAACACGATAATTTTTATATTTATGTGTATGCACATAAATATTAATTTACATTAGAGTGAAAGTAACTGGTTTTGTTTCTAAAGTTAGTTTCTATAGTGAGTTTTCAAGTGTCTCTGACATTCCTAATGTATTATATATGCAGTAACATAATGTAAGTTGCCTCCAGCTACTTTAGGATATTTTCCTAACCTATTTATTATAAGAAGAATAGTTTAGGTTCATATACTCAGAGCTAAGATGTTTCTCTGATAAATCAGGTAATAAAATGTATTTGATAGATAGAAAAAAAGAGAAGGATATCCCTGCTTCAGATCACATTACCTCACATTGCCTCATTGAGAATGCTGCATCCTAGACAGTAGCCCTCCCTCAGGAGACTGAATAAGAGAATACTCAGTCTCAAAGGGATAGGGACTACCTCATAATGGGTCCTGTCTCAGAGGATGATGTCTTATTGAGGACTCTTTCTGCAAGCTCACTTGCCTCAAAGAGGACTCTGAATTAGAAAGTAAGGCCCAACCTCATAGAGAGCTCTGTCTTATAGAGGCTTCTGGGTTCTAGAGGATGTGCCCCATAGAGGACCCTGTATCAGAGGGCCTTGACTCCTAAAAGACTCTTGTCTCATAAAAGATCCTGCATATTGGAGGTCTTGCCCCATAGTGGAAAACCTTGCCTGAAAAAAGGGGCCTTCCATCATGGAAAACAGTGCTTCAAAGAATACAGCTCTGCTTTATCTTATAGAAGGCTCATTCTCATAGAAGACACTGCCACAAAGAAGGCCTTGCTTCTCAGGAGTCTCTGTCTCAGAGGGTTGTGCTTCATAAAGGATCCTGCGCCATGGTCCATGATGGAACCTTCTCCCCATAGGACCTTTCTGAATAGAGGACCATGTTTCATGGAAGATCCTGATCCATAAAGGACAGGCCTTCCTCATAAAGGCATAGACCTTCATCATAGAAGACCAGGACACACAGAAAACCCTACTTCATAGAGGATCCTGCCTCAAAGAGAGCCCTTGCTTATGGAGGAACCTGCCTAAGGGAGGACCCAGGCTCATGGAAGATATTGCCTCAGAGTGGGTAGCCCTGTGTCAAAGGGTACTGTCACAAAGTGGGCTCTGCCTCATAGAGGATTCCTGACTTCCTTGTCTTACTGAAGGCTCTGGTTAATAGAATACAGAGGGCCCTAACTCAAACAGGAACCAGGCATCATAAAGAACAGCCCTGAATCCTAGACCAATCTGCCTCCTAGAGGTGCCTGCCACTAAAAGATCCTGTCTTGGCTCATAGATGCCTCTGTCCCATAAGATGACGCTATTTCATAGAGGTTCCTACCTAATATAGGGTCTTTGCTACATAAAAGAAACCCCCAATCTTAGAGTAAAGGGTTTAAGCCTCAGACCATGGTCTCATAGAAAATAGCTCTGCCACACAAATAACAGTACTGTATCAGAGGAACCTGTGTCATAGATGCCATGCATCAAAAAGGAGCCTTCCTCAGAAGACCCTGCCTAATTGAGTGTCCTGTGTAGGGGACATCCCTACCTTGGAGGATCCTGCCTCACAGGATGAAGGTCCTGCCTTACAGTGCTTAGCTGGTTCATAATAGAATCTGCCTCTTAGAGGGCCCTGTTTCCTAGAAGGTCATGCTTCAAAAACAGCCCTTTTTTGTTGTTGTGCTAGTGTTGGGGCTTGAACTCAGGGCCTGGGTGCTGTTCTTGAGCTGCTTTTGGTTAAAGAAGGGCTCTCTACCACTTGAACCATTCTCCTACTTCTGGATTTGGGGGTTGCTTATTGGAGATATGAGTATCATAGATTTTCCTGCCTGTGCTGGCTTTGAACCACTATACTCAAATCTCAGCCTCCTGAGTAGCTGGGATGACATGTGTGAGCTATCAGTACCCAGTGACATTAAAGAGGAAATTACCCCAAATCATATCTGTTTCTCATAAAAACAACCCTGGCTCAGAGGACCATACTTCAAAGAGGACCCTGCATTATAAAAGATAGCCCTGAATAATAACTTTGCCTTCTTCTTCTTGTAGAATTGGTCATGCCTCATAGAGAGTCCTGCATCAGAGAGACTTCTGCCTCATTGAGGATCCTGCTTTGTGGAGCATTCTGTCTTACAGATGACAACCTGCCTTCATGAGGACCAAGCTGCACAGAGGACCATGCCTCCTCAAAGGCCCTGAAACCTAGGAGGCACGGCCTCAAAGAGTAGTCTGAAGAGGATGCAAGGAATTCAGTTGTACAGTGTTGGTAACAATTGAGATTAGTCTACACACTATGGTAGTGTGGTGAATCTTCAACAATCTAAGAATAGAATGATGATCTCTCTGTAACCCAGCTATACCACTTTTGGGTACATACCCAAAGGAATGTAAGTCCACTTACTATAAATATAAATGCACACTCAAGTTTATTGACATACTAGCCATAATATACCAGTTATGGTATCAGCCTAGATGCCTGTCAATGGGAGAATAGACAATAAATTTGAGGTTTAGATAGACAATGGAGTTTTATTCAGACAGAAAGAAGAATGAAATGACATTTACAGGAAGATAAATGGAACTAGAGATCATTGTGTTCAACGAAATAAGGCATACTTTGAAATACAGGTATCACATGTTTACTTTCACATGTAGATTTACAAACAACCTGGAAATAGAAATGTGAATATTTGGGATGAAGAATTGGACCTGGGTGAATGTGATCAAAGTATATTCTAAACATTCATGAAAGTATCAATGAAACCCATTATTTTGTATAACTCACATCTGCTTAAAAATGAATGGGGGAGCTGGGCACCAATGGCTCAACCTCTCAGGAGGCTGAGATCTGAGGATTGTGATTCTAAGCCAGCCTGGGCAGGAAAGTCCATGAGTCTCTTATCTCCAATGAACCATCAAAAGGCCAAAACTGGAGTTGTGGCTCATGTGGTAGAGCTCCAGCCTTGAATAAAATAACTAAGGTACAGATACATACTCAGGCCCAGAGTTCAAACCCCAGCACCAGCAAAAAAAAAAAAAAGTGGGAAAAGGGAAAAAATATCTGAACATACCTTTTAAAACAATAGGTGTTCGTGGTTCATACATGTAAACACATACTACTCAGGAGGCTAAGATCTGAGGATTGTGGCTTACAGCCAGACTCTTGTCTCCAATTAACCACCAAAGATGTAGAAATAAAGCAGTTGTTCAAGTGGCAGAGAGTCAGCCTTGAGTGAAAAAGCTAAGAAACAGCATGATGAGACTCTGAGTTCAAAGCCCTTACGCTGGCACAAACTTATACACACACACACACACATACACACACACACACACACACACACACACACACAGATGTTCAATACTATAAATGATCAGTGAATGCAAATCTAAACCAAAATGAGATCACACCTTATATACACTAGAATGGCTTTTGTCAAAATCTCAAAATAGGCTGTAATACTAGCTATTCAGGAGGCTGAGATCTGAGGATTGTTCAAAACCAGCCTGGGCAGGAAATCCATGAGACTCTTATCTCCAATTAACCACCAGAGAACCAGAAGTGGTGCTGTGGCTTAAGTGGTAGAGCACTTGCCTTGAGCTGAAGAACTGAGGGACAGTGCCCAGACCCAGAGTAGTTGAAACCCGACAACCAACAGAGAAAATATAAATAAAAAGAAAAAATCTCAAAATAGAGCAAATGTTAGGCTGTGTCGAAAATGGAACATTTATCTTTTTAGTAGGAATATATATTAGTACTGGCATTTAGCAAAACAGTAGGGTGTTTTTCACAAACATTCAAAGTATAATTGAAAATTTCAAAGTGTGATCCAACAATTTTACTTTTTCAAATACATCCACAGAATATTCATACTCAGAGATATCTGCACTTAATGTTCATGCAACATCACTTAAAACTAAGAACAAGAATTGTTCATTAGTAGATGAAGAAACCATTGTATACATACATATAAAATGTAAATATACTTATATGATGTGCATACATCATATATAAAGTTATTTAAGAAAGTTCTGAATTTGTGGGTGTGGGGTATACTGGAGGTTGAACTTAGGGCTTTGCACTCTTACTTAGCTTTAATTTTCAAGGTTGGCACCGCGCCACTGAGATACATCTCCACTTCTGGATTCTTGCTGGTTAATTGGAGATAAAAGCCTCATGAATTTGTCTATCTGGGCTGGTTTTGAATAGTGATTCTCAGATCTCAGCCTTCGAATAGCTAAGATTGCAGGTGTGAGCCACTGGCACCTAGCCTAAATTTTCTCTTTTGGTGTGCAAAGTATCTCTGTGTGGCTCACACAGTCATTAAACTTATGATTTTCCTGCCTCTGTCTCTGAGTACTGGCATTACAAGCTTGTGCATGCCTGAGTTTTGTTTTTTGTTTTTTTGTTTTTTGGTCAGTTGTGGGGCTTGAACTCTGGGCCTGGGCGCTGACCCTCAGCTCTTCAGCTCAAGGTGAGTGCTCTACCGATTGAACCACAGTGCTACTTCCGGTTTTTGAGTGGTTTATTGGAGATAAGACTCTCAAGGATTTTCCTGCTCAGGCTGACTTTGAACCTCGATCCTCAGATTTCAGCCTCCTGAATAGCTAGGATTGCAGGCATGAGCCACTGGTGCCTGGCCTGTTTTTAATACAGAGGAAACTTGACAGCATGATAATTAGTTCAATAAACTAGATTCAGAAAAGTTAATACTATATCACTCTCATTTATATTTAAATCTACAAAAGGTCAAATTATCGCTATAGACTGTGGAATGGTTATTACTAGGGCCTGGGATATAATGTAGGAAAAGCTGAATTATTGAACAAACAGTTAAATGTTCAAGACAATTAAGTATTAGAGAGTTATTCAGCATGCTTACTGTTATTAGTAGTAATGAGTGTAATCTGCTCTTGTGAAAAAAATAGATCCCCAATTTTCCTGTGACAAAAATGTAATATAGGCAATGTTTATTCCCATTATCTGGTTATGGTAGAAATTATAAAAATGTGAATGCCACACTAAAAAACTTACATATATATTTTTATTTTTAATCATATTCAGTAACTCCAGTTAGTATGACTGTAAGTCTCATTAGGTATCTGGTTAAAATGAAAAATCCAAATTCTCATTATGTGTATGAATTCAGGATGTTCACACATAATATTAAACTATAACAAAGTAGTTAGCAAAATATAAATATTGCTGATAATTAAAACATTTTCAAAAATAAAAACATTGAGGGTCTAGGAAGGTGGCTCAGCAGTAGAGCGCTTGCCTCACATGCATGAGGTCCTGGGTTCAATTCCTCAGCACCACATAAACTGAAAAGGCTGGAAGTGGCACTGTGGCTCAAGTGATAGAGCCCTGGCCTTCAGCTGAAGAGCTCACCTAGGCCTAGATTTCAAGTCCCACGATGAACAACAACAACAAAAAAAATTAAAATAAAAACATTAGGATCATCTTAAAAGTGTACTTCACAATAACTGAAATGTTATTTCATATCAAGTGATATGAAATAGTCATTGATATGAAATATGAAATATGAAATATGAAATAGTCATTGCCTACATTGAGCTAAAGGAACTACATACACAGCAGCATGAGCTTCAAGGTACTTTGGAGAATAAATGTAATTCTACCAATTGTATATAAATCATAAAAAAACTGGAAGTGTGGTTCAAGTGTGTGCACACAAACACATACACACAGACACATTAGATTTTTATAAAGTCCAGTACTGTTATATGAACAATTTAACCGAAGTGAGAAGAATCTTACTTTTCAGAAAAATTTTTCCATCATTATTATTTTTTTGTCCTTGTCCTGGGATTTGAACTAAGAGTCTTGGCTCTATCTGGACTAAGTGCCTTTTGCTTCAGGCTAGTGCTCTACCACTTGAGCTATACCTCCACCTCTGGCTTTTTGGTAGTTAATTGGAGATATAAGTCTCATAGACTTTCCTGCCAAGGCTGGATTTGAACCATGTTTCTCAGATCTCAGCCTCCTGAGTAGCTTAGAGGCATGAGCCACTTGTACCTGGCTTCCATTATTACTTAAAGAGAAAAAAAATAATGGGCTGGTTGCTGGTGGCTTATGCCTGGAACCATAGCTACCCAGGAGGCTCACAGTTCAAAGCCAGCCCAGACAGGAAAGTCTGTGAGACTCATTTCCAATTTATCACAAAGCCGGAAGTGGCACTGTGACTCAAGTGGTAAAGCACTAGCCTTGACCAAAAGATGCCCAGGGACAGCATCTAGGCTCAGAGTTCAAGGCAAGAGACAGCTAAAAATAAATAACTAAATAAATAGCATTTTGAGTAATGTTTTCAGAATTTTTATTTGGACCAAATGGCCGAGAGATAGACATTGAGTACATGCTTCTGAACAGTCAGCAAGACTTGACCATATACCCAATAACACTGAGATGGATGAGATGATGAAATCCACCCAGTACATGATTACAAAGAAGCTCAGTAACAGCAGGATTGTCCAGGTGGGCTTTTTCTCTAGAGAGGATCCTTGGGATGGACTGGGGCTATGAATATGCTGAGATTGCTTCTGATACATGAACAAGGAAATTGCCATGTGTGCACTGGAGAACAGCAAGACAGGAAGACATCTCTGAATACTGTTGCTGTTAAAATCAATCCCCTTGTGAAGTGGTTCATGGGGAAAGGCAAGCAGGATTTATTGACCTTCTGTGATCTGAGTCACACTGGTATCATCAGCAGTGAAGAAGCTCCGGTTACTAGTGCAAGAAAAAATGAGAAGCCATATACAGAGAAGAGTGTGGATCACATTTTTTTTTTTGGAGGGAGGGGGGTGGGTTTGGGGTCGGTTGTGGGCCTGGGTGCTGCCCCTGAGCTTTTTTGTGCTCAAGACTAGCACTCTACCACTTGAGCCACAGCACTTCTTCCAGCTTTTGAGTTAAGGGTAATTGGAGCCAAGTGTCTCATGAAGACATTTCTGCTCGGCTTGGCTCCAAACCGTGATCAGCCTCCTGGGTAACTAGGATTATAGGTGTTGAAATGCTTGAGTTCAGGACCCCAAAAAGACCACCAGAGACCAAGATCAGTGTAATCAACAGTGAGGTGTTTATTGTGAGCTAGCTCGGTCCTCTGTGCACACAGCAAACAACTGGTTATGCTGAGAGGACCTGAGCACAAAATTAGCACAGCTTTTATAGTATTGAACAAACAAGGTCAGGGGATTTCCACACAAACAGTAAGTTTTGGGGATTTCCACACAAGCAGTTACATGATTGGTTAAAAATTGCATATTACTGAGTTTTGAGTCCACCCTGACTGCACTGCCCTTTTTCTGAACTCTTAAGGGTGGGCAGGGTTGGTGGCCACCTGCAGTTTTTCTGAAAACTGTCTTTCTCTTCCGGGTTACTCTGAGGGCAGCCTAGCACAAGATGGTGGGGTTAATCTCAAGTTGAAGTTACTTTGGCTCTTCATTCCCTCCTCTTCTAGAAAATTCAGGGTCAATCATGGTCCCCTAACTGGCACAGTCTTTTATATTTACAGTTTGGTATTGGGATCTCAGAACTAATAGTTGGACTGTGCTGATCTTCTCTTTTACAAAGGACCCCAGTCTGTTTATACTAGAACCGATGAGTAACAAAATTAACAGTGTCAAAGGCCTTTAAATTTTCTTCCACCAGTCCTGACGCCATATATCACAGCTAACTTAATTTTACACGAGCTGTACTCATAAGCTCCAATTTTAAGACATACTCATACTGAGAGGTTAAAGTTTGAGGCAGTGACCACCACTTGTTGCTTGTTTCTGTCTAGCAAAGCAACACGTGGTGGTTGATTGTGTGCCTATATAAGACCTGCAAATCCTTAGCTCGGGGCTCTC